CCAGCATGGGCTGCTGCTGTGCCCCAACCTCTCCGGCCAGGAGTGGTGGTGGGGATATTGCCCTGGCACAACAGACACTTGGGACACCATGCCCCTCTGACCTCCACCCTGATCCCCACCCCAGCCCCCACCAGGTGCCCCAGTGCCTCCAAACCCCAGGGCAATCCTTCCCCTGTAGCCACTGCCTTGCAAGGGGTCTGGTACCTGGGCACAACCCCATTGCCTGGGCACTCCCCAGTACCTGAGCAACTCCCCAGTGCCTGGCCTCATCACCGACATCCAGGCACACCACTGATGCCCAGGCACAGCACCAGTACCCAGTCACATCCCCATGGCCTGGGCATATCCCCGATACCGAGGCACATCCCTCCATACCCACCCTTCAGCCCCACTGCAGACCCCGTGTCCCGCAGCAAGTGCTCCTGCTTTCAGTGCCTACAGGTGCCCCAAATCTCCCTCCTCGTGGGGCTTCCACCTTGGCCAGGGTGTCCCCCAGGGACCCTGCCCGCACCCTACCCCTGCCCCTGAACCCACAGACACTCACTTTTTGCGTGGCCCAAGGGTGCGGGTCCCGGTCATGCACACCAGGCACAGCCCTGCTACCAATGCATAGACTCAGGCCACAGCCACTGCACCCCTCCTCCAGGCCCCACTGCCTTGCCCCCCAGAATCACACCCTTACACCCCTAAACCAGGGCCAAGACAGGCCACCCACCACCGCAGCCCCCACCCCGCGTCAGCGATGTTCTTGGCACTGGTGACCTCTCCCCTCCTCCCACTGCCCAATCTTGCCTGGGAAGATGAAGATGAAGAAGGCGCTGATGCCCCCGATGAGCTCAATGACCTTGCCGATATCCGGGACAAAGAGGGCAATGGCGAGCGTGGCAGCCATCCAGGCGACCGTCAGCGCCACCCGGCTCCGCCGCTCATGTGCCTCGGGCACCCCCATGGCCCCGTGCTTGGGGAGTGCCCACAGGTCCCACACCACTGATCTAGAGAGGGGTTGGGGGGTTACAGCACCCAGCGGAGCCACATTGGCCAGGGGTGACACCTGGCCCGCCACCACCCCCCTCACCTGCCCAGCAGCACCACGATGGGGTAGATGGTGACGATGGAGACACCAAAGAGCAGGCGGGCAACTATGACAACCGGGTCATTCCCTGGGTAGGACATCAGGACATCGGATGCCACGGCCTCTCCGAAGGTCAGGTAACCATAGATCCCTGCCGGGGGGGAGGTGGGGGTAGGCAGCCGGGCCGGTGAGAACAGAGGAGCCCCGAGGAGGATGGATGAGCCTAAGGACAGGGGACCCTCGGGGCAAGGAAGGGATGAAGGGCTCCAGTGCTGGCGTTACCGGTGAGGGAGTAGATGAGCAGGCAGATGAGCATGGAGAGCACAGAAACGGCGACCCAGTGGGAGAAGCTCTGGTTGCGCATGCTGCTGTAGATGGCCACGCAGGCCTCGTGGCACTGCAGGGCATGGGGGTACGGCACTGGGTCCCCTGCAGGAACACCCTCACCCCCAGTGCCTTCCCTCCCACCTGTGGGTACCCTGTCCCACTCTCCCCCATCCCCAGGGCTTTGTGCCCTGCCCCACAGCCACCTCTGGTGACAGCCATGGGCCCCCTTTCCTGCCAGTCCCCCAGCAAGGGATGGTGTCCCCATGGTTCAGGATACTGTGGGAGGCTGCCAGCACCACTCCAGCAGCTGGGGACAGTGGGGCCAGGGTGACCTACCTGGAAGCCAAAGCAGATGGTTGGGATGACGCTGAAGATGGAGGCCCAGGAGGAGGCCCTGTAGCATTGCAGGAGAGGAAGCACAGAGCAAAGGGCATGAGACCCCCAGAGGCAGAGGGGACCTTGGTGGCATAAACAGTGAAGCTGGGATGCCACCATAGGAACCTCCCGCCTGGTGATTTTGGGAGAAGGGGAGATTGCTGAGGTGAAAGGTGGGGCTGGGGGCTGCCACCCACCCACCTCTCTACCAGTGCTGTCCTCAGCTCACCCCAGCCCCTACCCAGGCCCACCCCTGGCACTGCCTCCAGCCCAGCCTCATGCCGCTACTAATGTCATGGAGGACAGGGTGGGAGGGATGCAGGGAAGACACCCCCCCACCCCTACCTGGAGGGCTGGGGGGGCTCGGGTGAGCCCAGGCTCTCTGCCTGCAGGTGGTACTTCAGGATGATGACGAGGGTGAGGTAGCAGGCAGCCAGAGTGCCCAGGATGCTGCCAGGCATAGGAGAGCATCAGCATGCAGACCCCTGACAGCCAGGAGGGAGCGGGGTCCTGTGGGTCTGCAGGGACCCAGGAGGAGGTAGTCTGGGGTACAGGGTGCTGAGGACTGGGCCACTAGCCCAGATGGTACCTGGAGTACTTCTGGAAGCCGATCTCCCTGGGGACGGAGAGCGGGAAGATGACGAAGATGCAGAGAGCCGAGAGGGTGAAGCGCTGGTCCACATACCAGGGAGGTGGAGGGGGGGCTCCGCTCAGCGTCCCGTTGGGGTACAGGTAGTCACACACTGTGGAGGGCAGTGGGGGGGGTCAGTTGTGCTCCAAAAGGTGGCCCAAGGGGGTCAGGAGCATTACACCATGTACCAGGGAGCCCCACAACCTCAGGAGTCCCAAGAAAACCCCGGGACTGCCCCCAGCCCGTATGGGACCACCTTCCCCTTGCTCCCATGAGCTGCCAGCCCCAAGCAAGCCCCAAATGTGGTGAGGGGAAACAACTCACGTTTCTCCAGCTGGTCACCCACCACCCTGAGGAGAGCCACGGAGATCATGAAGAGGTTGAGGAGGAAGCAGACCTCGCAGAGCTTCCCTGCTGCTGCCCCACACACCGCCCGGACGACCCCCTGGTAGGTGGGCTGGGCGCTGAGAGCTGCCGCGTAGCCCAGCACCGCCAGCCCGCTCACCAGGAAAACCAGCGAGCCCTGCGGGGACGAGACCGGCAAGAAGCACCACACTGACCCTCCGTCACACCCCAGACCCAGGGGCACCCAGCAGGGCCGTGGTCAGGGACCAGGTTGCCAGCCAGGTCACCTTCTGGCCCTGGGTAGCACGGGCCAGCAAAAGGATGGAGAAACAGCCCTTTGTGATACTTTAGGTTTGGATCTGGGGTTTTGGGGCATGTAAGGGACCAGCCACCGATTCCGTTTTAAGTTGAGCTCAAAGCTGAAAAGTCTGGTTTCAGATGCAAAGGGCATCTCTAAGGCGGCAGCGGCTTCGCACGCCTGCCCTGGCCGTTGTCCCTTTCAGCCTGGGTCGGGATGCCGGCGCTGCGCCCCATGTGGAGGGGAGGGTCCCCGCCAGCCCCCCAGACACCGGCGCAGGTGAACACCCCCCCCCTTTCTCCCCTTGCCCCTTTCCCCGGGCCGG